AGACCTTCCCCGGCGAGAGCTGCGAGGATCCCGCCCTCTTTCTCGGGGCAGAGCCAGAGGAAAAAGGAAACCACCCCATCTTCCCATCTCCCGGGGCACCATCTTTTATTTTAAACACAAATAAATGAAGGCAGATTCCGGAGAGTGGGCAGGTCCAGGCCCCCCACGTCCCACACCGCTGGTTTAAGCAGATCAGAGTCCAGAAGGGCTGCGGGAAAGAGCTGGATCGAGCTCGGATACCCCGGGAGGCCTCGGCGAGGCGGCGGGCATTGTGTGCCCACCCGCGCGAAGGGCTTCGGCTCGGGGCTGTTCCCGGGCGGCGGGGCTGGGGAGGGGCGCCTGACCAGCCTGGGCCCAGAACCTGTGGATAGTGCAGCGGTCGCCGACCCTCTACGTAGTCTTTCTGCCTTCGGAGTTCACGACCCAACAGGGACGTTTTTGCTGTCCTCAGGCCAGCAGATGAGCAGGCGGTGCGGCTGTCCAGAGAGTAAACAGACGGCGCTGGCGAGGCTCAGCCGCATCTCGGGGCAGATACAACGGGTGGGAGTTTTCTTCGTGGCATTCACATTAGTTAGGAGCCACAACTACTCCGGGAAAAACCTGGAATAGCCCACAAACGGTTAGTTTGCGTGAGATTCATTAAAACACTGGAAGTTATGTTGCTCTTATATTCGTTCTTGGAAATTCACTAAAGATATTTTTGCACGTGAAGTGCCAGTAAAAAAAAACCCCAACAACTGCTCCTCATGATCTTTTCTCTCAGCCTTTGAGCGAGGACTTACCCCTCACAAGCTTGGAAAGCTAGACGTGGCGTGGACGGTATCCACCCCCCTTTTTGATGTCTGAGCTTATATTACTCGTGTATGTTTTTAAAGTCCTAGATGGAGTATCCAGTTTGTTACAATAATACACAGATGAAGTTCACAAGAGTCCCAGGAACATAATTTCATCAAAACAGCACACACTTGTTTTAAATTCCAGCTGTTAGATTTGTTTGATAGTGACAGACAAGCATGGGCTAGTATTTATGGAAAATAAACAATTTATCCCATGCTTTAGGAGTAGATATTTCCTTGGGTCTCAGTTTTGATAAGAGCAAATACAGCCAACCATCCTGAAGCCACCGTTCAATTGACTTTGGGAGGTAGTTGAACACATAAAATTTGTTCTTACGAAAAATTACTAAAAATATTAAATGATCAACAGACCAAGAGTAGCAAATATTGCTAAATGAAGAGCACATTTCTCCAAATGGCTTTTGATCACATGCAACAGGTACACTTAAGATACACTCATAATTTTTATATTTACATTTGCACACCACAGAAGTCATAAGAATACATATTTTTCTTTCTTAGAACTAAAGATCTCTTTTAAAAAGACATGAAAAATAAAAGCGATTTAAAAAAAGTTAAACCTAACCATACATTTAAAGAGAAATTTTACCACCAAAATGTTCTTTCAAAGTTAAGCTCATAATGCACTTCTGACCATTGTTACACAGGAACACGGTTGTCTTGTCTCTTCTCCATGTCCAAAGCAAAAACATTTCACTAAATTAAACGTGAATGAAATTATTGTCAAAGTGTGTTTACGTTTAACATGTTGAGCTTGCTTGACAGGAAAGAAAAACCTGACAGAAAGAACAGTTGCATTTAAAATGGATGATCTGACACCTTCCGGTTACTTAACAAAAAATTACAAAATAAGTTCCTTTTCAAAGACAAAAATATAAACACTTTATGTCATACAAGAACTCCCATGTTTTAAAAATAATCCGTCACTCATCTTTTAATTGGAAAACACACACTTTTAAGTGTCACAAACGGTTTTGACAAAGAAGCGAACTCTATCCATTGTTGCTGATGTTTTTGGTGTAAATCATATATCCTCTATTCACATTTTCTGCCAGTGGGTGTACCAAGTCATTACAGATTCTTGTCTGTATTTTCATGATCCATAGAATCTCTTTTACTCTTTAACGATTAGCATCTTACGTCTTTTCCATGGAAGACCTGTTAAAAATATATACCACAAGGATCTGGCGCCAGGGCAGCCTCTGAGTGGAGCACACAGTCAGGACACGACTCTGGAGATCTGCACCAGAGCCCGGCGCTGCCTCCGTTTCCGTATTCCTCGTCTCCAGTTCGCATTTTGCTGGCCCACAAAGGCGCCACCGGCCCAGAGCCTCCCCCCACACCCACGATTGTACTCGTTACGTGCGGGGAAATTATGAATGGCTCTCACGGCCAAATGCAGGCAGCAAGAGGCACAGACGGACTCCAACGTCCTCCAAGTGCGAATCCCACCTAGGGGGACCGCAGAGCGGTCTTCCTGTTTAAAAGTCCAAGTTCTCCAACTAAAACGA